TTGCTGGTGAGAGTAGACAGCCCATTCTTTCAGAATCTAGTTTTAGATTTCAGATAGTCAAAGTACACAATATTCTGTGGGTCTTGAAAAATCAGTAAAAACCACCAGAAACGGCTGGCAATATGGGAGTACCTGTTTTGAAATGGGCTGGCAGTCAATGAGTTAAGACCTCCCGGACTATGCATCAGCTTAACCAGTATGACCTGTTTTATACAGTGCAGCTTAATGACCTTTGACGAGCAAAAGACTGCAGAACAAAATGGAAAGAAATACACTATAAAATGTATGGATAAAATGTGGCTTATGACCTAATGGGTACAATATGTATCTTTTAACTTTTAACACACTTCGACCCAGCAGTTGGGTTACTCAAATAACTCACATTCTAAGGATTAAACACTTTTTTGGTTGAAATTATATACACATTTTAGAATTATGTACAAGTACCATTTGTGTTTTAAGGTAATATTTTATTTATTTATTTAATGGTTTACTTGGATAGACAATGGAATATGATATATATCAGTGGGGCCGATGGCACATACTGGTTGGCAACCGCGGTTTATCACCATTGCATTGTGTATGAAGTGAAAAGCTTTTTAAATACAAAAAAAATGCAATTTACAGATGTTTTTCTCCTATCCATCCATTAATTTTGTTTTACCTTTTGTCCCTTTCTGGGTCTGAGGATTTTAACTTCTAATAATATGAACATTACTGTGAAATTAATCTCTATGCAGCTGCTTTGGATCATAAGAGCCATAAGTGAAAAAAATACACATTTTTCTGATTCCCGGCACATCCATGTCTCTCTGTGTTGTTCAGCCCTGGCCTTGGCTCTGGTTCTGCTGCTGCCGCTACTGAAGGCGCAGTGGTGTGTTGGTCCGTGACTGGGACTCATTAGCGGCGCAGTGTGTCCATCATGAAGCCTGGATGGTGGACCACAGCGCTGCCTGGGCTCTCCCTGCGTCTCTGCCTTCTGCTCTCCGTCACCTGCACTTCTCATCTCGGGGTTCATCTCCTGTGAATCTCTGGAGCTCTGCAACATGGCCCTGCTCTCCATCAAAGCCCCAGTCAGATTGCTACTTATCACAGAATCCATTCTTGTTGACCCATGTTGCCAATCCCAGTCATCACGGGAGGCTCTTATGTGACTTTCCTTCTGTATTGTTCCAGTGTGTTGTTCGTCAGCCTCTTCTGCGCCCGCAAAAACAATCGAAAACAGGACATAGCAGCTCTTGGCACCGCCGGCTGACATTCCTTCATTTAGACCAGAGTAATGCTGTTTCAAATCCTCTGTGATGGAACGCCGAGCTGCCTGAAGGACACGAGACGAACTGCGGTGTCTCACGGTGCACTATGGCGAATCGCATCAACCAAAACCCCAAAGACTACTGAAATATTGAGCGTGTTTCGACTGGGTTTAGATGGTCTGACGGTGAAGGAGGAAATAGATATTGGAATCTTTCAAACACATGTGTCTGCATCACAAACAAGCACGGAACCTGCAAGAATACTTTTGCAATCACTACACACACAGATACTATATCTATGCAGACTTAGAACTCAAATCTTCACTTAGAAAAAAAAAGGAAGCGCCGAAATTCTGATATAATTATGGTATCGGATTTGGGGAAAATCTGTGAGACTCTGTGAGAAAACACACACAATTGTTCGGTCACTCTTCGACTCCTGTGAGCAAAAGATGACTTAAAGCTGCACTAACTCACTTTGTGAAAATGTCTAACGTGAGCGCTGGCCTCGCTCTTTCTGCTCGCCCCCCAACAACCCCCTCCCCCACAGCCTGTGCTAACGTGCTAATTGTTTACGGATCTCACGTCTCACAATATGGATTGCACATATGAACGGGAATGGCGTGACCATAGAATGATAGAACCGGGAAGCGCGGAGGAACGAGACTTTCTTTTCGATGGCTGTTTTGCTGTGTAAGCAGTAACCGGTAACGAAGACACGGGAAGTTTCAGGTTAGCCTCTGCCTCTTGTTTACCTCAGCTGTCATAACGAGAGACCTGAAGCTTTTCTCAAGAAAGTGGGGGCCAGTGGTCCGCTGTGATTGGTCACAATCTGGTCCTGAAACACATTCTTTTCCTTGTTGCACAAAAACTCTATCTAAATTAAAATGTCACGCCAGCACAAATTTGCGCTTCTCATTCTTCAAAAGGACGTATATCCCAATGCACTGCATGGATATGGATTGAATTTTTGTAATGAATACAAAAATAAAAGGAGGTAGTGCAGCTTTAAGTGATCCCTACTTCAAGGTTCAAGGTTCAACTTTACTGTCCCTAATGGCAAATGTTTGTTAGACTCTCAGTGCTGTTGGACACAAACATATAAGGCACTCTCAACATCAGGACTCTCGACTCGTCTGCACAATTTCAACGCAAGAAAATATCAAAATATTGCAATAAATCAAGATGGCACTGCAGACGGCCGCTGTGTTTCTATGGAGCGCTCTGTTTTTCTAGTTTTTGTGCGTTAGTTGTGTGTGCCTTTTTAGCTACTTCTTTGAATAACTTGTTTACTCTATACGCTAAAGCAATTTCCTAGTTTGTGACTTCCTGTTGCTTTCAATGGCAATAAACTCTGCATCTCTGAGTTGAAGTCTTGGACCAAGGATCAACTGCGATTCTCATTGAGAAAAAAATTGAAAAAAATTCCAACCCAGGAATGTCAAAGTCCCGTGGGCCAAATCCGGATTTTGGATTATCAGTATTTCAGTAAATTGCAGCATTGATGATAATGAGATACTATGGCATATAATGAAGACATATAATTGAATCTGATCTAAAATGGATATTTGGCCCAGTGGTGATTGAATCCAACAACTAGAAAACAAACTTGCAAAAAATATCCACACACATAAATAAAATCAATTTGTCAAAAGAAACCATTGCAAAAAAAATTAAACCACTTTTTATTTTTTATTTTTTAAGTTGGCCCTTGACAAAATATATGACACCCCTGTTCTAACCAATGCATTTACACCTATTAGACAAGCTCAGGTGAATCTGGAAGCCCACTTGAAGAGCCAGACCATGAGTCCTTGTTCCCGCTGGCCTCCTTCCTTCAGTGCAGCGTGAACACTGGTCATGCTGTTGACATATAAGAGTGTCGGCGGCCTGTGCGCAGCTCAAAGCACACACCACATTGCTCATTTCCAACCTCAAATTGCCTTGCTCTCATCTCTGACCCGCGCTTAACAGCCTCACTCAGCCAATTCACGGGCCATTCTCTGCGCACAAAAACAAGTATGTTTACAAAGCCAGCACACACAAACTCTCACAAGGTTAAAGGCATTAAAACAGTGCCCGATTGGAGGTCAGCTGGCAGAGAATGGAATCCGTGTGACATTTCTGAGCATGAGGATGTTGTGAAATAATAATAAAAAAGCTATAAGAATTAATTTGAGGGTGTTAGTGTGTTGGACAGAGCAAAAACAAATCCACTTTTCAAGCCATGGTCAAATATCTCAGGCAGGATTATGAACATGTTTATATGAAATAGAACCTAATCTTGAATTGGTAATTTGAATTTTTATAATATTGTGTTGAGGCGCCACCATTAGTTCTGGAAGTTTTATTCTGTGCACAGTTCAGCTCTTAAATGCCAAAACATTATGATTTTGTATTTGACAATTTTTTCATCATGCTTTAACGTTTGCAAGTTTTCCCCAATGTTTTTTTATTTTTTTTATAACTAATTTAAATAAGTCCTCTTTGTCACTAATATAGACCCTGTAAAATAATATTTTGGGATTTTTAAATACAAAATGCAAAGTTTTTATATGATTTTTGAACATCCTTTCACACTATATTCCTTTTTCTCTGTTATATCATTGTAATACCTTTTCATAACACGCAAAAAACACACACTCATACAACCATACACAAGTTCAGGATGCACAAAAAACACCCTGATAAATATCTATATAATTTGTAATAAAACAAAAAGCCTAGAACTAAAAAAATGTTAAATGTGTAAGTACCAATACACAGACGCAATTATATTTCAACTGATTTTTTATTTTTGTCTAGCGCTGATAGGTGCCAAACTTATTTACAAGTTTGCAGTCACTCGCTTGAGATACATATTTTCCAGTATAGAGTTTACTTTTGCATCATAACAAAGCACTTTCATATTGTCTACTAATCTAGCAGTCCAATAACTCCAGTGAAAACAATCATGTGTTAATAAAAACTTCAACTTTCATAAAAAAAAAAAAAAAAGCTTCCAGTGAACATTATTTTTTTTCACAATCACAGCCTTTTGCAATAAACATTTCAGAAAGAATTTGAGCATATTTCAGAATGTAATATGTCAAAGGAACAGACATCATTTTTTGTGAAAGTCAAACCCAGCCTCAGACATTCATAACTCCAGCCTGGGGGTAGGACCTTGTATCCATGGTTACAGGAGTGTGTTGTCCAGTTTGAGGAACGAGAATGAATGGCTCCCCAGAAGGCGTACATTTGGCCTGAGCTGAACATCCATAGTTGACATTTCAGCTTTTGACCAGAGGCAAGTATCTATTCTGTTGCCTCTTGGAAGTCACCGCATATAACTACTTTTTAAAGAGACTAATTACACTTGCATTTGGGTATAGGGTGAAGATGGTCTCAGTACACAAAACTGGATTTTGAAGGCACTTAGACATGTGTGCTATTTTTCCTAACTTGACCAGCCTTAAGACCCTGATTTTGGCTATTTTTCTTCTACATTATGTGGTGGGTCATTTATACCCAAGGATAGCACAAGGTTAAGCATTTTGTGTTTTAGAGTTTGAACTGGCATACCTAACTTCTGTATTTAAGAATTTTGTTTTGTGAACTTGTAAGAAAACATCCTGTGGGTCAGTATTTGACGCTTTGGGCCCTCCCCTTCTGTGTGTGTCTGGTCTCAATCTGGGCTACGTCCACTTGCCTCGGTCTCCGTCCACCTGCCTCTGTCTCCGTCTACTTGCCTACGTCTCCGTCCACATGCCTACGTCTCCGTCCACTTGCCTACGTCTCCGTCCACTTGCCTCGGTCTCCGTCCACCTGCCTCTGTCTCCGTCTACTTGCCTACGTCTCTGTCCACATGCCTACGTCTCCGTCCACATGCCTACGTCTCCGTCCTCTTGCTTATGTCTCCGTCTACTTGCCTACGTCTCCGTCCACATGCCTACGCCTCCGTCCTCTTGCTTATGTCTCCGTCTACTTGCCTACGTCTCTGTCCACATGCCTACGTCTCCGTCCACTTGCTTATGTCTCTCCGTCTACTTGCCTACGTCTCCGTCCACATGCCTAAGTCTCCGTCCACATGCCTACGTCTCCGTCCACTTGCCTACGTCTCCGTCCACATGCCTACGCCTCCGTCCTCTTGCTTATGTCTCCGTCTACTTGCCTACGTCTCTGTCCACATGCCTACGTCTCCGTCCACTTGCTTATGTCTCCGTCTACTTGCCTACGTCTCCGTCCACATGCCTAAGTCTCCGTCCACATGCCTACGTCTCCGTCCACTTGCCTACGTCTCCGTCCACTTGCCTACGTCTCCGTCCACATGCCTACGTCTCCGTCCACTTGCCTACGTCTCCGTCCACTTGCCTACGTGGCGTCCACTTGCCTACGTCTCCGTCCACATGCCTACGTCTCCGTCCACTTGCCATTCGTCTCTGTCCACATGCCTACGTCTCTGTCCACATGCCTACGTCTCCGTCCACTTGTCTACGTCTCTGTCCACATGCCTACGTCTCCGTCCACATGCCTACGTCTCCGTCCACATGCCTACGTTTCCGTCCACTTGCCTACGTCTCCGTCCACCAGCCTCTGTCTGTCCAATTGCCTACGTCTCCGTCCACCTGCCTCTGTCCACTTCCCTCTGTCCACTTGCCACTTACCTGCTTCAATAAATCTTGAAATCTGTGTACAGCTCTGTTCTGTTAAACCGTGACATGCATACATTGCATAGTGTGTCTTCGTTAAAGCTGTAGTACCTAACTTGGAAACCGCAACAAAATAACAATGTAATGGTGATAAAATTCTTGCTCCCAGTTAAGTTCACATTCATGTATTTTTGGCCTCTGACACATTTTTAAATTCACGTTTTCAGATAAAAAGGTGAAAAAGAAAGGCCCCCACGTCATTCATCAGCTCTAACATGTTTTATGGTAAGAAATAGTTATTAAATTCTCCAGCTTTAACAGGCTTAATCATTTCTATGTTGTAATGCACTCGTGAGACGCTGTCGTGAGACACTGTATCTCTGGCGGGCGTGAGGGAGAAAGTATGTGTATGTGTCTTCAAACTGTCCTTTGCTATAAGACGCCATTAACCCTGGATGTGATTAGAGCCACATCGACCAAGCGGAGCCCCAGAGCAGGCCTGACCCGTGCTCTCCGTGTCAGTACCAGATAATGAACGTAATCTTATCGGGCGTTTTGTCTCCTCCAGGGGCTGTCTGTACCATTAGGTTAGACTGATGTAAACTGTGGTCATAGCAGGGTTAATCTTCTTACTCCAACGGATGCTTTGTAAGGGTGTTCTGTTCAGTGGGAATACAGAAGCGGGCCACAATCGGTAGCGTAAACATCCAATTTAACTTTATGGGTATAAATATGCAATAAGTTATTTTTTTTTGGAGCTATAGAGATTTACACTAAGGACAAGTAAACGCCAGATCACAGCAGGAATGATAAAACCCTTATTTCACTAAGTCTGAAGGTTTCTCATGTCCAGTTCCCCAATGGAAGACAAAATACATTGCTTTAGAACTACTGTTTTGGAATTGGGATTGGGATTAAGAGAAATCCAATTGATTTGTTCCAATCGGGAAATGTCAGTGTTGCATCGACAGTTACAGAACAGTGGAAAGTACAGCACAACTATACTTTAAATTCTATACAAAAATAAATAAATCTTTAAGGGGCTGGCTGAGGAAACCATGGCTGACAATCTGCAACCATCAGCCTCTTTAATCTTCTATCCTACACTGCAAAAAATGATAAAATATGAGGAAAATATTGCTGTTTTTTTTCTTAATACAAGGGAGACATTTCTTGCATCTTTTTTAAAACAAGATAATTTTGCTTGTCCCATTGGCAAATCTTGTTTGAAGTCAGAATATACAAAAATTACGATACATTCGGCCAAATTCGAGCAAATGTTGACATATATTTCACCACTTTTTGCAGCGTAACATGTACACACCATAGGCAACGTGTGTGAAGTATCAACACAGCTACACTTCACAGCGTTCCCATTATTCCAAAGCCACAGAACCAAACTATTCCTCCAAAAATAAAACATTCTTTGATTGCATTTACACCCTCAGTCTAGATCTTAATAATTTAGTTTTCTGAGTCACCGTTTTACTTCCTCTGGCATTTCCCAGCGTCTGTGATGGGTCCCTTACAGCAGTGCTAATGATAGATCCAAACAAGGTGACATATTTCCTCTTGACTGTCCCACAGAGACTTACTCTAGGGAGCATGTTTATCCCAGCTCTTGTTTTAGATATTTGCTAATTACTTATCAAACACAATGGGGAAATAAACAACACATGGCAATTAATTATAAGTGTCATTTAAAAAAGGTTTTCTTTGGCAAAATGCAAAGGCACGTTTCATCTGCCACCAGTGCTTTAGTATTCTGAGAGACCGCACATTGCTTAGAATGCGGTCACTACATTGTCTGAGGTTATAGATGCTCCATATGTTTAATGCATTTTTCTACTCACAGATGTTTTCTTGAAATTTAGCCACGACAATTGTTTTAGTTTGAGAGTGAAGAAATCCAACAGCCCTCCTCCTCTACCCACATGCCATGGTTTAACAAGTGATATTTGCTGTGTGAAATTGTGATTAGTAAATGTCACTCAAATAATTTGCAGAAACGAATTTCAGAACTTAATTGAGTAACATTTTTGACCTTTAGAATAATTCAAATTTACTCAAAATCATGAATGAAACCTTACTCTTGAAAATAAATGTATCCCTGATACGTCAACTATGACAATTCTTTTTAATTATAAATTACACTCTGAAGCGATTTATGCATGTGTGAAATGATTAAACTTCATATTTTATTAACCATTAAAAAAAATGTCTTGCTCAGACATATTTCAGGAAGTGATTTAGGCCCCAACTGCTCCGGGCACGCGCAGGATTAAATAATGTGGTTACACAATTGTCTTAGTAAAATTTGATTCACTAAAGAGTTGTGAGTATTTGTGGATCATTGTTTTTGAGATAGGTTTACTCAATGTTTTGTTCAATTAATAAGGTTACTTAACAAAAATAAGCATAGGTTGATTAAAAATATTCCATATTTGATTTCTTTTGTGTGGAGTTTGCATGTGTCCCCGTGTGTGCGTGGGTTTTCTCTGGGTGCACCGGTTTCCCACAAATTCTAGTTTATAACATTAAGTGACAGGGAAAAAAATAAATCTAAAAGGAACGAATCAACCCATTAATTGTAAATTGTAAACCTATAATTTCACTCAAAAAGACGTATTGGGTTACATTTAAATTGTAATCTAAACTTTTACATAACTATATCAAATCTAAATGCGACACCTGGGAACATATTTGGCCATATTTTTATATTTTCGGGATGGCTTTTCTGTGTGGAATCCTTACAGCGACCATTGTGATACTCAAATATGGAGACAGAACAGAAATGTGCCTAGCTGCAAAAGTGATTGAATATCCTGATGGAACACATTTCAGTTATGTAAAGTTGTTCAATGCAAGGGCGTAGGTTTGCGTGGGGACCATGGGGACATGTCCCCACCAATATTTGGTGAGGACTAAAAAGTCCCCACCAAAATGACATGATGTCCCGTGACCCGGACGGTCCGGGACACATGTCTTCCGTTTGTGCATACGTCGCGCCTCCTCCTCGCCTCCAGAGCAACAGCAGCAGCAGCAGCACGTGACCCGTTCCGTTCTCTGCAGTGATTGGCTGTCTTCTTCAGCCCCAAACTGAAGCACTGAGCGACTGTTTAATTTTTTTAAGTTAGCCAGCGTGAAGCAAGTGTTTTTTTTCGTTCCCTGAGCGTTGTAGCACGTGAGTAATCAGAGGAAAGTACTGTAGATCTATTACCATTCAAAGTACTTACGTTATTTCTAATCTGTCAGCGCACTGTTTAATGTTCCGAGGAGCTCACACGGCACAGAGACAGAACAGAACTGGCTCCAATAAAGAAACAGGTTGGTTGAAAGGCTGAAAAAATACTTATTGTGCTCTTACTATCCAAAATGTATAAGTGGGTGTGTTGTGTGAATCAGGATAAACTAGGGATGAAAATATTCCACGGATCCACGATTTACAACCTTTATCTGCTGATAATGTAATTTCTGTGAAATGTGTGACAGCGGGCACTTGCTGTGATTTGCTCTAAGCACATTCATGCGATGCACTCGAATGTGCACGTCCTGGTGCAGCTGCTGCCGCTTTGTAATGACAGCCGCGGCGCTCAGTGAAAGCACAGCTCTAACATGGTACCGAGCTCGGACCATATGCAGACAGAACCATGTTGCAAGTGCGGGTCTCCCTCGTATCTCCCCCGTTTCTCCCCTGTGTCTCTGACATGTCTCTCCCCTGACTCTTCCCAAAGCGCAACCAGCGCTCCCGAAATTAAAGCTCGGATACCTAAATTTTCCATTGCGTTAACGATGCATGCTGGTTGTGCGCAAAACACACCACAACAGGTCATTTAAGTTTTTATTTTGCATACTTAAGAGCCCTGTGAGTCATTACTTGCCTTTTTGGGTTGTGAGTGGAATAAATAAAAAAGAAAATATAGAAAAATACACACTGTTACTTATTGCCAAACTCTTGTTAACTCATTGTATTGAGAAATACTATGTAACTTTTGACATTGGCCAAGTTATATAAATGATTCTGCAGTTCATGTATATGAATCTCTGTTTTTGATTGTCTATACCTTCTTATATAATTTAGAAAAAATGCCACCTCCACAAAAAAAGATAAAAGATATCAGGAGCTTTTTTAACAGTTGGAAAGTAAGTAAGAGAAAGCACAAGTAATAGCAAATTATCAATCAATCAATCAATCAAATTTTATTTATAAAGCGCTTTTCATACATAAGATGCAACACAAAGTGCTTTACAGATTGGTTAAAAACAATCCCGCCGGCCCAAGACCCCTCCCCCAGACCACCCAACAGACCCCCCCCAAACCACAGACAAACACACACACACGCGCTCATGAACACTCATACACACACACACACACACACACACACACACACACACACACACACACACACACACACACACACACACACACACCAGTAAAACAATAAAAACATGATGAGAGACTTGGCAGGGTTCAGATGCAACCAGCTGAAAAAGCGTCATCCAAGGAGCCGTCTGCACCAGGAGCAGAGAGCCGCCTGTAGCCACAGGGGACGACACAGGACCCAGAGGAGACATGAAACCGAGGCCCCAGGCCCCCACCAGGCCCAAGAGTCCGACCCCCGCAGCCACACCGACCACTGCTCCCGGTGCAGAGGGCTCCTCCAGAGGAAACACTGGGTACACTAAAAACAATACAATAAGTAAAACACTAAAATGTGAGACTAAAAGGAACATTATGAATTTATGAAATTATGAATTGTGATGATTAATCTTCTGTTAACATACATAGGAAACTCAACCAACAAGAGAGAACAATATAGGGAATGTTGAGGTAGAAGCAACAGGCCCTTCAGTGCATCAGGTGAGGTTGGAATTTTGTAGGTATGCATGGGACTATGAATTGTTTTTAGAGATTGATCGTATATGTCAAACAATGTAGTGAGCTACTCACTGTAGATTCTAATTCAATATTTTCTCCTCTGTTTTTATTTATTATAGGAAATTGAAAGATCAGAGCATGATTTATTTCAAGTA